CATGTAGTTTGCAGCGGCCGGGCACGGCGGCGCTGCTGGCCGCATGGTCGCGGGTTGTTGATTCTGGCTTAGGGAGCGGGTTGCGCGGCCGTGGGCTTGAGGCCTAGGGTTTCGGTGGAGGTGGAGGGGGCGAGTTGCGGGCGGAAACGGGAGGGGAGGTGGAATGCGGGAGCGACGAGGGGGTGGTTTTGGGTTGGTGAGGCGGGGTGGGGAGGACCGGAGGAGGAGGAGGAGGTATTTATATTCAGCGTGGGGAGGAAGACGGTGGTTGCAAGGGTGGTGGGACTTGACTTGGAAGACCAGACCAGGAAGAGTGCGCTACTCGTGGAGGAACGAAGCCGTTTAGTATGGTCAATGCGGTACTCCCCGGATCTCATCCTGCCCATTTCTCCCCGTGACAGTGATTTGAAAACAAGCATGTTTTGAGACGAGTTCAAAGTTCATGCTCAATGGAATTCGCGTTTTTTTGCTTTCATTCCAAAGCGAGATAGTAGTTACTCCCTCTGTAAACTAATATAAAAGCATTTAGATCACTATTTTAGTGTTCTAAACGCTCTTATATTAATTTACGGAGGGAGTATTAATCAACCAACACTGCTACACAGCCGACGCGTTTTAGATGATTTTTAGATGATGCAATGCATCGAGCCATCGATGCATAGAGGAAAGGTGAACATAACCGTTCGATCCTCCAGTCGTCCAAAGTTCGGCCAACATTTGTCATGTGTACAACAATTTCATTAATCGAGATGTGCGGTGTTGTCACGTCCTTGTTGCCGACGAGTCGACGTTGATAGATTTTGAACAAATTTCTGATGAAAAATTCAAATTAGGGCTGAGGAGGTTGAAAAGTAGAAGGTAGAGGGTGGCGTCTGGCCTATAACGATCTCTGCCTCAACTCATAGCAACATAACACACCTTCTAGCCCATGGCCTAACACACTGCAAATCCATTTGAAGTCCATGCCTCTATTTGATTTTCCCACCTTCCCAGTTGGTGCCTTCTCTTTTTGTTTACACCTTCCGGGTTATTTAACGTAGTCACATTATCGGCAATACTAACATTGCCCTCTCATTGAGAACCAGCTGGTCCTAGGCTGGTGCTTCCGAGTAGCGAGAGTTGAGCATCTGATAATCCTCTCAGGTAGCTACAGATGCTGGAACAGTAGACCCCTTCATCAACATTTGAAGATAGGCATCGTTCTATTTCTTCACCAAACCTTCAAGTATCACTCCCCGCAAGGAAAGATCAATGATCTAGCCAATGAACCTTGAGTTATGACACATGAAAAACCAGATGCACCATACTTCCTCGGAGTAACTCCAACATGTAGGTTGCATTGCCAATCTTGGCCAAGATTTTAAAGATACCAACTAATTTGAAGGCAAGCTTAGGGCATGTACGGTTAGCCACTAAAAACTAAGAATGCGGTTGCAACCACAAGTACACCATTTTCCCTTCAGCAAGTTCCCTTGGAGATCTCTTCTTATCTACATGTTACTTGTATTTGAACTAAACTTTGGCCAAATGCTCCTTCAAGTTTGCAATGTGTTGAGTTTGGATAAATAGCCAGGTCTGCACATCAGAATTCAAAGAGGGACATGTTGCAAGGGGTGTCCTATGTTTGGCTCATGTCTGTACAAGGCTTTATAAGGTGTGCAACCTAGAGAAGAGTGGAAAGTGGAGTTACACCAAAACTTATCTTGAGGTAGCCAAGAGGTCCACTTGGCAGGAGAATCATGAACCACACCACAACACAAATACATCTCCAAACACAGATTTGCCCTTTTAGAGTCTAACCATTTATCTAAGGGTGGTAAGCAGTGCTCATCTGCAATTATGTGGCCCAAACTCTGAAAAGCTCCTTCCAGAATGCACTAGTAAAGATTTTATCTCTGTCACGCACATGGAGAGTGATAGCCCTATGTAGTCTGACAATGTTGCTCAGAAATGCTTTAGCCACTGATGTTGTAGAGAAAGGACGTTTGAGTGGAATGAAATGACCTACTTTGATAAATCTATCAACCACCACCAAAATGGCATTGTATCCATCTGATTTAGAAAGGCCTCAATAAAATCCATGATGATGAACCACCAAGGACCATTAGGTACAGGTATAGGTTGTAAAAGCCCTGGTGTTTTGCATAGTTCATGCATAGCGTCTTAACATGTAGCACACAACTTCAAAAAAATTCTCCATATCTACCTTCATTTCGTGCCAAAGAGATGCTCAACTCCGTAATAAGTTGCCAATATTCTGGAACGACCATCTACATGAGTGGAGTGAAAGGCCATAATTAGTTTGGTCTGCCTCCAGCATTGGCACCCACCCATATATTGTCATTATGTTTGATTATGTCTTCCTATAGTAGAAAACCACCACATGACCTAGCAACTTGATCCACTTTATAAGAGTTGAGTACCTCTTGTGTCCACACTGGCTGACTAGAGGATACAAACTGTAAGGGAGCCACCCTAGACAAGGCATCAAGCATAGTGTTTTCACTCCTTTTTTGTATTGTATACTAAACTAGAGACTCGTTAATTTTTTCATTGTTTTCCTCTTCAAATAATATGCTAGATTTTGGTCTCCCAAATGATAGAGGGTCTGGTGGTGTATCTTAGTGATAAATGGCCCCTGGAAAGGTACTGTGCCACTTGTCAATTGCCATCATGATTGCCAAAAACTCTTTCTCATAGATATAAATCTTTTGATTTCACCGTGAAAGTCTTACTGTAAAATGCAATGGGGTCTCTATCCTAAGTTAACACAACACCCACCCCTAATGTTACATGCATCAGTTTCCACACATAAGAGCTTAGAGAACCTGGGAAGTGAAGGACTGGAGTAGAGGTTATAGCTTTTCTTGAGCTGAAAAAAATATCTTGACCTTCTGTGGCCCATTGGATAGCATGTTTCTTCAACAACATAGTGAGGGGTTAAGAAATGATCCCATAGTTTTGTACAAATTTCCTATAGTACCCAATTAACCTACAAACCCTTGGAGTCCACTAATGTTAGCAAGCACAGGCTAGGTTGATCATTGTTGTAGTTTCTGCTGGATTATTTCCCACTCTATGATATGAAATTATGTGTCATGGGCACTCCGTGGATTGTTAGCAAATGGGCACTTGCTACCGTTCACATCAAACTGAAGGAAATATGCCCTAAAGGCAATAATAAAGTTATTATTTATTTCCTCATATCATGATAAATGTTTATTATTCATGCTAGAATTGTATTAACCGGAAACATGATACATGTGTGAATACATAGACAAACTTAATGTCACTAGTATGCCTCTACTTGACTAGCTCATTAATCAAAGATGGTTATATTTCCTAACCATAGACATGTGTTGTCATTTGATTAATGGGATCACATCATTAGGAGAATGATGTGATTGACTTGACCCATTCCGTTAGCTTAGCACTTGATCGTTTAGTATGTTGCTATTGCTTTCTTCATGACTTATACAAGTTCCTACAACTATGAGATTATGCAACTCCCGTTTACCGGAGGAACACTTTGTGTGCTACCAAACGTCACAACATAACTGGGTGATTATAAAGGAGCTCTACAGGTGTCTCCAAAGGTACATGTGAGTTGGCGTATTCCGAGATTAGGTTTTGTCACTCCGATTGTCGGAGAGGTATCTCTGGGCCCTCTCGGTAATGCACATCACTATAAGCCTTGCAAGCAATGTATCTAATGAGTTAGTTACGGAATGATGCATTACGTAATGAGTAAAGAGACTTGCCGGTAACGAGATTGAACTAGGTATTGAGATACCGACGATCAAATCTCGGGCAAGTAACATACCGATGACAAAGGGAACAACGTATGTTGTTATGCGGTTTGACCGACAAAGATCTTCGTAGAATATGTAGGAGCCAATATGAGCATCCAGGTTCCGCTATTGGTTATTGACCGGAAACAGTTCTAGGTCATGTCTACATAGTTCTCGAACCCGTAGAGTCCGCACGCTTAAGGTTTTGATGACAGTTATATTATGAGTTTATGAATTTTGATGTATCGAAGTTTGTTCGGAGTCCCAGATGTGATTTCAGACATGACGAGGAGTCTTGAAATGGTCAAGACATGAAGATTGATATATTGGAAGCCTATGTTTGGATGTCGGAAGTGTTTCGGGTGAAATCGAGATTTTACCGGAGTACCGAAGGGTTACCGGAACCCCCCGGGGGCTTAATGGGCCTACATGGGCCTTAGTGGAGAAGAGGAGAGGAGGCAAGGGCTGGGCCGCGCGCCCCTCCCGCCTAGTCCGAATAGGACAAGGAGAGGGGGGCGGCGCCCCCCTTTCCTTCCTCTCTCCCTCCTCCTTCCCCCCTTCTCCTAGTCCAGCAAGGAAGGAGGGAGTCCTACTTCCGGTGGGAGTAGGACTCCCCTTGGCACGCCCCCTCCTAGGCCGGCCGCCCCCTCCCCCTTGGCTCCTTTATATACGGGGGCAGGGGGCACCTCTAGACACAACAATTGATCTCTTAGCCGTGTGCGGTGCCCCCCCTCCACCATAGTCCTCCTCAATAATATTGTAGCGGTGCTTATGCGAAGCCCTGCGACGATAGAATATCAAGATTGTCACCACGCCGTCGTGCTGACAGAACTCTTCCCCGACATTCTGCTGGATCGGAGTACAGGGATCGTCATCGAGCTGAACGTGTGCTAGAACTCGGAGGTGCTGTAGTTTCAGTGCTTGATCGGTCGGGCCGTGAAGACGTACGACTACATCAACCACGTTGTTCTAACGCTTCCGCTTTCGGTCTATGAGGGTACGTGGACAACACTCTCCCCTCTCGTTACTATGCATCACCATGATCTTGCGTGCGCGTAGGAATTTTTTTGAAATTACTAC